TCCCCCCCCCCCCCCCCACAAAACCGGGCCCCGGCTCCCCCCCCCCCCCCCCACCACTGTTGAAGTGGTCTACAACCTCAGCTGAGCTCAGATATTCTTTTCTTTAGAAATGAACGATTGACTGTGTCTCTTAGCAAAGACACAGCCAATCATCAGAATCCTGCTGTATGATGTCATCCTCACTGCACATGAGCTCATGGTCAGCCTGAAACAGCTCAGGTCTTACTTTGGGAACATTACAGACAAGAGAAGTTGGAATTATATTTACAGCTCAGATTGTTTTGATTCTTCCATAATCTGTGTCTGCGCACTTCACTTCTATTCCTTTGGATTGTAATTTATCAGGTTCATTCAGGGTTCTTAATTTAGGCCTTTGTTATTTTTAATAATGTAAGACGATACTGTCATAGTTCATAACTCATTTTCACACCTCTTTCCATTCCTACGTTCCCCTCTCCACCTTCTCCATCTTTTGTTTCCAATCTCCCACCCTATCAGAGCCCAGTTTTCACTTTCAGCCAATCAGACGTCACATCTGCCACCACCATTCAGAATAAGGACTTCAAACCAGGAAATGGCACCACCCCCAGGGTCTCCCAGCGCATGCCTGACCAAAAAACCCATACTTTACCTTCCAAGACCCCCTCTGATCGCCCTCCCCTCCAATCCATGAAATCTCTTCCTCTTCAGACACCACCCTCCTGCTCGCCCTCCCCACTCCTCTCCCCCATCCCTCGCTTTTTCTTCTTCCCTGCTCCCTCCGTCCTTAAGGCTGTCTATCCTAACCCTCTGCCGCAGGTCACACCGCAGGCCTCTCCGCTCCCTACCCCGCTCGGCACCCCTGTGCACCACCCCCAGCACCCTCCCCACACCCCGCCCTCTTCTTCCTCCTCCTCCTCCTCTTCACGGGCTGAGGGAGGCGGAGTGGGTTGCGGCTCCCTGTCCCTCACCCCACCCTCCAGTCCGGGGGGCAGTGGGGGCGTGGCTGTTAGCTCCTCTGCCCACTGGAGAACCCGACTCAACTCGTTCAAGAACAATCTGCTGGGCTCACCTCGATTCCACCGCCGCAAGTTGCAGGGTGAGCGCACGGGGCTGGGCCTGCCCCCCATGCTGATGGAGCGTGACATGCTTAGCTTTAGTACCAGGGGCTGCATGTTGCCAACAGGCTACATCACTATGGTGGTCTGTGGTGCCTCTGGTGGCTGTGATTTCCTGTGGTGACTGAGGTGGCCTGTGGTTCCTGTGGTGACTGAGGTAGATCGTGGTGACTGTGGTGGCCTGTGGTTCCTGTGGTGACTGAGGTAGATCGTGGTGACTGTGGTGGCCTGTGGTTCCTGTGGTGCCTCTGGCAGCCTGTGGTGCCTGTGGTGCCTCTGGCAACCTGTGGTTCCTGTGGTGCCTCTGGTAGCCTGTGGTACCTCTGATGTCTGTGTGGTAGATGCTATTGAGGGGCTGCCTCCCCTGTCTCTGTCTCCTCACACTGTCTGTCCAAATCTTCCTCTGCCTCTTTTTTTCTCTCCTTTGCTCACCTGCTCATCAGTACCGACCTCAGAGGACATGTCCAGCCTGACTCCGGAGTCCAGCCCGGAGTACGTATCGCACCGCTGCCACTGCTCTCCTTCATGCTAATGATGGTAACTGGTTGTTATGGACCTTTGAGGAAGCCAGTGACTCATTTTCATTCTTTGCTTTTCTGCCTCCCTGTTCACATCAGGCTAGCCAAGAAATCCTGGTTTGGGAACTTTATCAGCCTGGAGAAGGAGGAGCAGATCTTCATGGTGATCCGAGACAAGCCCTTGAGCTCCATCAAGGCTGACATTGTCCACGCCTTTCTCTCCGTGGGTCTCTTTCTCTGTCTTTGCCAACCTACTGTCTCTTTCATTCCTTCATTTGGTCCTGAGGGGCCCATGTGCTGCTCTGTCTTTATCTGTCAGCTTTTATGATGGCTCCCCCTCCTGGTCATGCTCTGGAATAGCAGATTCACTGTGATGTCTGCACTTTCCCATGTGCACTGATCTGGGTTTTAGTAGCAGCCAATTAGGCCAGCATGCCCCGCCCTCGTGTTTGGCTCCTCCCCCTAACCTGCCCCTCACCGCGAGCGGACGCCACCGCCCATGTGCCATATTGACCTTTGACCTTTCCACCCCTCTTCCTCTGTTCCAGATCCCATCCCTCAGTCACAGTGTCGTCTCCCAGACCAGTTTCAGGGCTGAGCACAAGGCTGCGGGGGGGCCTTCTGTCTTCCAAAAGCCCATCAAGTTCCACGTGGACATCGCCGTCTCGGAGCGTGAGAGGGAGCGAGAGAGGGAGAGAGCAGACAGGGAGGGCAGGAGGCGAACAGGCATCTTCAGCGTCACTTTCACCCTCATATCGGGTACGAGTGCAGTGGAGGGAAATGGAGAGGGAAAAAGATCATGAGAGGGATCAAGGCTTAGCCAGCCAGCCACCAATCAGAGAGGGAGAGGGAACAAGGCTTAGCCAACCAGCCACCAATCAGAAGGGGAGAGGGAGCGAGGCTTAGCCAGCTGGCTACCTATCAGAGAGGGAGAGGGAGCAACGCTTTACCAGCCAGCCACCAATCAGAGGGGGAGTGGGAGCAAGACTTAGCCAGCTGGCTACCAATCAGAGAGAGACATGGAGCAAAGCTTGGCCTCCAGTCAGCGAGGGAGCTCAAGGAGAGGCATGGCTAGACCTTCCTCCTCCAGTAGAGAGAGCAAGCCTTTGTCTGGCCCGTCCACAAGCCCCTCCCTGTCAGCTGCACCCCCCTGCCCCGACCCCCATGCCCCGCCCCGTCTCTGTCCATCACCTGGGTCCCTCTGGCAAAAATGAACGTGGCGGTTCTCATTTTTGTCTCTCGACATGTGATGCCGCCACCACTGGGATGCGGTGGCAAGCAGTGGGGCACTGCAGCCGGCGTGCTGCAGCGTGAGTGTGTTATCAGTGTGCGACTCGTTAGGGCCAGTGAGGCCACATGCAAGAATGATAGACATGGGGGGAGGGTGGAGAGAGGGGGCTGCTGGGAAATCGCAGATGATCTATAATGACTCTTCCCCCCCCCCCATAACCTGTCTGTATGTGTGTCTGTCTGTGTGCTTGTGTCTGCGAATGCAAACAGGTCCCAGTCGCCGGTTCAAAAGAGTGGTGGAGACGATTCAGGCCCAGCTCCTCAGCACTCACGACCAGCCCGCTGTACAAGCACTCGTCGGTAGGGGGTGCTGCCCTTAAAACTGCCGCTGGTCAGTTGAACGGAAAGCTGTGTCTTAGCACCACTCTCCTTGCCTTTCTCTCTCATTCCCTGACAGACGAGAAGAACGGGCAGCTCACCCCCAGGTCCCCTGGGACCCCCACACGGCGCTGGGACAGCGGGGCCGAGCGGGCAGAGCGTGGGGAGCGCAGTGATGGGGGAAGTGCGTTGCAGCGCCGGGGCTCCAGCAGAGACAAGGCTAGACTGCTCTCCACCAATGGAACCCAGTCTCAGCCCTGAGCAGGAGACCCCACGGTCGCCCCCAGTGGCCGAAGGTCATCACTGCAGTCCGACCAGAAATGCCAACGAGATCAAAGAAAAGGGCAAATTGATCTCCTGTTAAAGAGAACCTGGCAAACAATCTTCGTCCAACTGGTGGTAAAGCCTCAATAAAAGATCAACATAAAGCTTTTGGTATCAGCAGAATTCCTCCATTTTTTTTTTCCCTGTTTTTCAACATGCATATGCAGAGAAAAGAAGGCAAGGAGATGTCAGATTGAACCCTGAAACGTGAGACTGTGTGCCCTTGTGTGCCCCTCTTTGGACACGACAGCAGTGACACGCCAGTCCATCAGCATAGTGAAATGTATGTTGGTACTGATATCACTGACACGAAATCATCAGCTGTAGAATTTTTGAGTGTTTTTTTTTCTTTGCCATTTATTGATCATCTTGGTATATCAGAGACTCCCCCAGTGATGAGAGGGGCTGGACATGAATCTGTGCTGTCAGTGACTGAGGTTCGGGGAAGGTGAATCCCCCCCCACCCCAACCATATTGGACCAAAAAAGCGAAGTCTTTCAGGACAGATGATTTGAATGAGCAGGAATATGGCACCTTTTCCCATCAAACCATTGGCTGCTTAAGCTCTCTTCAGTATGAGTACTGAAGCAATGTTGTCTTCAGTCAGACATTATGCAAATAAAAGAAGGGGAGCTGGACCAGAGCAGCCTGGAGGACATTGTGACCTGCAGAGAGAGAGGGGACAGGGACACATGTGACAGAGGGACCTGCAGGGACGAGTGTGACAGAGGGAAGTGCAGGGACGAGTGTGACAGCATGACCTGCATGGATGAGTGTGATAGAGGGTGACAGGGGGACCTGCAGGAACACGTGTGACAGATGGTCATCAATGCAGAGCACAAGTAAAACATTTTAGCAAGACAATGACACAAGATGTGAAGCGACTGCGACACATCCATCTATCTATCCATCCATCCATCCATCCATTTGTGGAGGAGGGGCTTCACAGCTCCAGGCAGATTGGGGAAAGGGGGTGGGGCCACACCGAGCGTGTGAGTCAAGAGTGTGTGGGAATGGGGCTCTGGGGCAGGTGGCCAGATCCAGTGGCTCCTGGCAGGCAGGAGACTTACTGAAATGCTGCACTTCTAGCTACTGCCTCTGTTCTGACTTTTGGGGGCATTTACAGCTAAATGTGAAAATACAGAACAGGGACAGATTGAGAAAACCTTCAGTGAAGCTACAAAAAAAAACAACAAAAAAAAGGATGAGTTAAAGGCTAAGGAAGAATCTGGGGGCTCCAGCATCCAAGGGGAGGACCCTGGGCTCAAGTGGCAGTGGGGGGAGGAGTCTGAGATCCAGCAGCAGAGAGGAGAGGAGCCTGGGATCCAAGGACAGCAAGGGGAGGAGCCTTGGGCCTAAGGGCTACACTGTCAGCAGTGACGTTTGTCCCCCCTCCCCGTCACACTGCCGGACAGAGTGACGCGTTGGGGCGCTGCAGGGATGGTACAGTCAGAACAGCCATCCACATGCTGCTGTACCAAAAAACATTGCTAGGGTTGCCATGGTGATTGTACCTTTACAGGGAACCTTTCATGTCAGGTTAAATTTGCCCCACCTGTATATTTATCATTGCCTCCCTGCTAAGGACCCTATTGCTCTGACTCTGCTTGGTGGTGGTTCTAGAGGCCCCCCCACCTCGTATACCTGCAATGCTGTGAAGGTGGGCCCCCGGCCCCTGTTACTTTTCCACACTAAATATACCTCAGTTATTTCCCTTTATAACCTCAGCCTGTATGTCCCTAGATTCTCTGCCGTTCCCTCCGTCATTATCGAGAGCGTAGATTTGGGTATGGATGGTCGGGACGTCACCCTACCAATATCGTGGGAGTACTGTGTGTGTTAAGGCAGGTGATTTGGTCCCTACCAACGCTGGAACCAAACCTACGCCCTTTCTTCTTTATTAACTTTGCGTTATCATTATTATTATAGAACATAAAGTCTGCAGTTGTACTCCCCCATGCACTGTAGGACAAGTTTTCAGTCTAAAAGGAAAAATTGGAATCACAAAAAAGATTCAAAGAATAATGTCTATATTTTAAAATGGAAGTGTGCACTATCATTGCAATTATTGCCTGTGAGAATAAATCAATAATGACAATTGCTGTCAAAATATGAGCTTATTATTATAATTATAATAATAAACTTTGGCGAGGTGTTTTGGGTGTTGTCTGCCTAATTCATTTCTGTGCGATTTTCTGTAGCGTTGCTTCACGGTCTTACATTCATTTTATGATTATACTTTTATGAAATCATGTTTGCAGCGCATTTACGTCAGGGTTTACGGGTTTGTTAAGCTGGTGCCGTAATATTTATCCGACCCACGTACCTGTTCACACGGGACAAACAGCCCCAGGAAAAAACACGGCAGGTAAAGTAAAGGGGTGTGAGCCTCTGATAAGACTCGGCCTGCGGGGAGGGGCGTGGTGGCGCGGATTGGGACAGTAGGTGACGGAGTCTCGCATATACAGTGAGGCACGGCGGCAGGAGCGCGTCTATTCCCAGGCGGCGTCGGGCAGTTCCTTCTCAGGTAAGGAGCCGCACACAGTGCGTTCTATTTGTATTCGTGTGTATTAAGATATAAAAGCAGCGCGTATTTTAAGCATGCCGTTTATTCGTTTGCGGTAAAGTCCTGCTGTGTATGTGATTGAACTACCCTGTGAGCAGATGTGGCTGCTATCTCAGCCGGTGACTGACCGCCACATGTACCCGCTGATTTAATCTGACTAGGATTTGATCTGTGTTTATGTTTCTTCTTAAAACTCATTTAGCGGCTAAGTGTTGTGTAAGGTGCGGAAACGTAACTGTGTGTAAATAAACACACCTGTTGTTAGTGCCACTCCCACCACTAGCCGCCTACTACTACTACTACCACCATCACTACTGTAACTGTGTCAATAATATTATAAATGCATGTATGTTAGTTACATGGCTTAATATAGTTATACAGACATATAATTGTGTAACTACAAAGAAAGTGATTCATGTGTCTTTTTTGGCCATTTATTTGTATATTTGTGCACTTCTGATAACTTTAGAAGTTTTTTTAGTTTTTTTGTGTTCAGCCGGATTGCGTGCAGTGATTGTAATTCAGTGCGCGTTTGTGTCGGTAGCCTTCTCTGTGTCTGCTTGTGTTTCCGCGTGTGTGTGTGTGTGTGTGTGTGTGTGTGTGTGTGCCGCGGCGGGGCGGCGCGCTCTGGCTGCGATCTCTGTCCCGGGCGCCGGGTCTCCACGCCAGTCTAACCTGCTCTGGCTGCTCCGTCAGCTGCCTTCTGCAGGCGTGTTCGCCAACTAACGTCTCCTGGATTCTGACACTCAGGGTGACACAGCTGCCGTTTCCGTATTACAACAATTTTATCAGTCTTTTTCCTGACAAACCTGCTGAATGACATTCCACTGCTGAAAATCCTTCACCAGCCCCCCCACCACGCGGGTTTCTCAGTCAGAGTTGAGTCTTCTGTGGCCAGTGGCCTGTACCACGACGCGGGGTTACTGGCCTATCGGGGTAACGACGGATTTAAGGTACCACAGTTGAAATGGACTTCATATTCGTTCACTTACATTTTGCCCAAACTACCTTAAATACGACAAGTTACCCCGATAAGCCCATAACCCCGCTTCTTAGTACAGGCCACTCGTATTATTATTATATTTAGCAGTTACGTTCAAAACTTTTTTGGCTTCTCACGATGAATGACCAATTTGGTATTAATTAGATTTGTTTTTATAAAAAAAATTGTTTTCCAGAGATCTGTTTTAGTGTTTTTAAGAACAACTATTTCAGCAGAGGAGAATAATCCAAATAACATAAATCGCAGATTTTCCCGGATTGTGATTAAATAATTCATCAAAACGTAAAATCAGCCAGCTAAATGAATGAACTTGATTTTTGAATGCTTTTGTCTTATTGCCAGTTTTCCAGAACAGTCTGTGGTCTCTCTCAGGTCAGGACTTGTTCCCGTATATTACGGTGTGGCGTTCTCTGATGTCTGCTCGTTCCGTGGCCGGCTGGTCACCTCTCACCCAGTTCAGGCTTCCACACGCCCTTGTCCCTCCCCGGCTGACACACGGTGGGAGGACTGGGTGGACCCCTGTGGAATCTCGACGGCTCTCAAGTGCTCGTTTATTAAGCGTGAGCACGATTGCGAAGATTCACATTTCAGAAAGGAGCGCGCAGCACCAGGAAGCGTCGTGCATACTGAGAGCGTTATCAGACTATCACAGTATCAGGAGCACAGTGCGTAACCGGGCCCTCGCTGCCTCCTGACCGCCGCTGCTTCCTGACCCCCGCTTGCCTGCTCATCCTTCAGCTATGGCGGAGGCACACCAGGCTGTGGCTTTTCAGTTCACCATCACTCCAGAGGGCATCGATGTGCAGCTCTCCCACCAGGCGCTTGCTGAGGTGTACCGGTCCGGGGTGCGGTCCTGGAAGAAGAGGCTGGCTCGAATGAAGGTGAACTAACAGTCTCTCTGAGTTACTATCTGTCTGCCTTTCTATCTGCCTGATGTCCTGCCTATCTGCCTGTGCATGTTCTCTCTATATGCCTATATATCTGTGTGTCTGCACTTTCAGGAAAAAAAGAGAGTACCAAATTGTACCTTTGCTTGTCACTGGGGCTGTACCCTCACAGGTCTGCCAATTGCACCCTATAGCAGTAGGTAATTGTAAGAAATAGATTCTGAGAAACACCCCCAAGGTATAAACAACATCAGTGTACCCCCAATGGTAAAATAATGTTCTTCAGAGTGCATTTCTCTACCTTAAGAGGTACAATCACCTACAGCAATAGAGTACAATTGGCAGACCCTTGAGGGTACAGGCCCAGTCACAAGCAGAGGTACAAATGGGTGCTCTTTACCTGACTCTGTTCATTCTCAGACTAGTTTACACTTCAGTCTTGTGACTCTTCATTCACTGTTCTTCCAGATGACTGAATAGGTCTTGCTATGTTGTTCAGTGCCACTTTACAATAAGGCTACCCAAATGAAGAGTTTATGAACGGTTTATAATCTGGTTATTAATTAGGTTGTAACACTTTGTAAATTACTAATAGACAATTTTAAACAAGTTATAACAGTTTTCTTTTTATTAATGAGTTCCTACCATTTACACGTGGCAATAGGGAGCCTTATTGTAAAGTGGTCCCTGTTGTTCTATGTAAGCATATCTACCTTATTGTGAAGACGTATGTTATTTTCCCAGCACCGTGCGGCAGTAATGTGATAGATGCAGAGCTTCTTCTCTTCTCTGCTGCAGAACACTGTCCTCACTGGTGTGTACCCCGCCAGCCCCTCCTCCTGGCTCTTTGTGGTTACTGCTACACTGGCAACCATGTATATGGGCAGCTCAGATCCTTCTATGGGCCTCATCAGGAAAATCCAGGAACACCTGCCCACCAGGTAAGATCCAGGAACAAACACCCACCCGTCACATAACGCCCAGTATCTGCAGAGCACTGTACCCACTGCACTCACTGGTGCTCCAAACGCATGCCCTAGAGAGGCACACCCAGAAGGCCATATCAGTAGTTGACTCTGTGGCTGTAATGCTGTTTTCCGCGTCTGCTCTCCACAGCGGCTCCCCAAGTGGCCAGTCCCAGGCGGTGTTGTCGGCCGTGCTCTTTAGCACGCTGCTCTGGTTGCTCCTTATCCACGCCATGCGCCTCTGCCTCAGGATGCTGCTCTCCTACCACGGCTGGATGTTTCAGCAGCACGGCAAGATGTCCGTCACCACCAAAGTCTGGAGTGTAAGCGTCATGTGCACCGTGCTTGGGCACGTATGGGAGCACACGCACACGCAGGGGCATAGGCACACGCGTGGACATGCATGCAGGCATGGGCACACGCATGGGGGCACACACACGTATGGGCACCGGCACGCAATAATAAGGGTTTATGGGTAATTCAGAATCTGTGACCTCCTGCGCTTCCTCCCCCTTGTGTGCCTCCACAGTGAGGTATTATGGGTAACTTTTTTGGGTGACCTCCCATGCTTCCTTCTCCTTGTTCAGGTGCTTGTGTGCCTCCTGTCCAGCAGGCAGCCTCTGCTGTACAGCTACCAGGCGTCTCTGCCCCACCTGCCAGTTCCTGCTGTAAAAGACACCGTTCGCAGAGTGAGTGACTCGCCAGTAGAGGGCGTGAAGGATAATAAGGTAGCAGGACAGGCAGACAGAGTGAGATGTGAAACCTCTCCCCCTTTTCCTCGCTCAGTACTTGGAGTCAGTGCGGCCCATAATGAGGGACGAGGAGTTCGATCATATCACTCTGCTGGCGGCCCAGTTTCTGGATGGTTTGGGGAAGCGGCTCCAGTGGTACCTCAAGCTCAAGGCTTTGTGGGCAGGGAACTACGTGAGTGTTGTTTGGGGGGGGTGCTGGCTGAGAGCCGCTCGGGCCAGACGATTACTCTGTGTATGCCCCCCCTCCTCAGGTGAGCGACTGGTGGGAGGAGTACGTCTACCTGAGAAGCCGCACCCCCATCATGGTGAACAGCAACTACTACGGCATGGTGAGCTGGGGCGACCCACCCCTCAGGGAGTCAGGTCTACCCTGCCCCCTGGGGGGGCAGCTTCTATGTATGGATCATGACTTAGAGATTAAGACCAGGACCAGAACATGTCAAGTTCTGGAAATAATCAGCACCCATGTTGTGAGGGTCAATGATATTAATTTCACGACAGAGTGCTCCGTTAAAAAATGGGGAGTGACATCACTACGGCTTCCTGCTCTCAATTGGCCGTTTTCCCTGTCTGTGTGACACATGGCTACACCACTGTATTGGGCAGGACTTTCTCTACGTGACACCGAGCAGCCTGCAAGCAGCCCGGGCCGGGAACGCTGTCACCGCCTTCCTGCTGTACCGGCGCAAACTGAACAGAGAAGAGATCAAGCCTGTGAGTGCCCTGCACCGGCTGCACTGCATTGTGGGGGATTGCATGCCAGGCTGCGTCCCATATGACGCTGTTCTCCTTCCAGAGTCGAATCCCGGGGACAGTCATCCCCCTCTGCTCAGCGCAGTGGGAGCGAATGTTCAACTCTGCGCGTATTCCTGGTGAAAAGACCGGTAATATGCTTCACTCACATATATATACACACACACACACACATCCCCTATCTAAATGGGGACCGTCCATTCATTTCTATGGGGAAAACCCTAATCCCAATCACGACACCCTTAACCTCTACCCATCCCTAACCTTAACCATAAGTAACCAACCCAAATACAAGACTTTTGGCATTTTTACTTTTTTGATTGCATTCACAGATTTTTATAAAACTGAGGTTATCCAGATGGGGACCTCAAAAGATGTCCCCAAAAGTAGGGAAATTTCAGGTTTTACTACACTTTGGGGGACAATTTGGTCCTCAAATGTGATCTATGAAAACCCACACACACACACACACACACACACACACTGATTAGGTATCTATATTTTTTTTTGTGGGGACTCAGCATTCAATTCTATGGGCATAACCATAATGCCAACTATGACGACCTTAACCAATACCCAGCCCTAACCCTAACCATAAGTAATCTAACAAGAAGTTGGTCCCCACAATGTTGAAATATACATGTTTTTATTACATAAAAATATGTAATATATACATGATCCACACATACACATACATAGAGGTTTGTAATTTATATCTTTGTGGGGACTCATTTCTACGGGGAAACTTTTGTCATTTTTACTTTTTTGATTACATTCACAGATCTTTATGGGTACATGAAAAATGTTCCCTACAACATAAGAATAACAGGTTTTTATCACATTGTGGGGGACGTTTGGTCCCCACAATGTAATATAAATCTAACCCACACACACTCACACACACATACATACATGTGTTTTTATTCACAAAACCTCCCTCCCATTTTATAATGTACTCTTGCTTTCCCACCCTTCCTCGGACTTCCTATCCTCAGATACCCTGCAGCACTGTCAGGACAGTGACCATGTGGCAGTCTACCACCGGGGGCGCTATTTTAGGCTACCAGTTTACAGGGCTGGGAGACTACTCTCACCACGAGAGATTGAGTGCCAGATGCAGAGGATCCTGGAGAACCAGTCGCCCCCCTCCCCCGGAGAGGAGAAGCTTGGGGCTCTGACTGCAGGCAGCAGGTACTGTGACCTCACTTCGTGTCCAGGGTCCTTGGGATGGGGGGGGGGGCTCACATATTAAGTGAGGGTCTAGACCCTACAACTGCAGTGCACCATGAGTGCATGTTGCTGTCTGTGCTTTTTCCCAGGGTGCCCTGGGCTCAGGTGAGGAAGCAGTTTTTCAGCTCGGGGGTGAACAAGCGCTCACTAGACTGCATCGAGAAGGCGGCTTTCTTTGTAACCCTTGACGACGACGAGCAGGGCATGAAGGGGGATGATCCCACCGGCAACCTGGACCGCTATGCCAAGTCCTTGCTGCACGGGAAGTGTTATGACAGGTGGGGGCACCAGCGCATGCTGAAGTCTAACAATGCACAGTGGAGTAAGATGGCGCCACACAGGGGTGGCTCTCAATGCAGTGGAGTAAGATGGCGCCACACAGGGGTGGCTCTCAATGCAGTGGAGTAAGATGGTGCCACACAGGGGTGGCTCTCAATGCAG